TTTGATGTTAATTTCTAATTTTATTTCATTTTGATCAGAAAAAGATACAGGATGCAATTTTAATGGTTTTTAATGTGTTGAGACTTGTTTTGTATTCTCACCTATGACCTATAGAGATTGTCTCAGGTGCTAATGAAAGGAAGGTGTATTCTATAGCTGTGGGATGAAATGTTCTGTAGTGCCTAGTAAGTCCATTTAGTCTGTAGTGCAGTTTAATCTTTTTGTTGAATTTTTTTCTGGATGATGTGTCCATTAATGAAAATGGAGTGTTGAAGTCCCCAAGTATTATTGTATTGGAACTTTTCTTTCTCTTTAGATCAAATAGCATCTGTTTTATAGAACTACATGCTCTGGCACTGGGTCCATATATTTACAATGGTCATATCTTCTTCTTGAATTATCTTTTTATCATTATATAATGTTGGGGCTGTGCTGTGGCTCAGTAGCTTAATCCTCTGCCTACAGTGCCAGCATCCCATATGGGCACCAGTTTGAGTCCTGGCTGCTCCTCTTCCAATCCTTCTCTCTGCTATGGCCTGGGAAAGCAGTGAAAGATGGCCCAGATGCTTGGGCCCCTGCATCCGCATGGGAGACCCAGAGGAGGCTCCCAGCTCCTGGCTTTGGATCAGCGCAGCTCCAGCCATTGCGGTCATTTGGGGAGTGAACCAGCAGATGGAAGACCTTTCTCTCTGTGTCTCTCTCATGGTCTGTAACTCTCTCTCTCAAATAAATAAATAATTTTAAAAAAATTATATAATGACCTTCTTTGTCTGTTTTTGCAGCTTTTGTCTTATCACCTACTTTGTTATAACTATAGTTACTGTGATTACTTTCGATTTCTATCACAAGGAATATCTTCATCTATCCCTTCACTTTCAGTCTCTGTGCCTTTACTGGTCAGTTTCTTGTAGGCAGCATATTCTTGGTTTTGTTGCTTTATCCACTCAGGCAGTCTGCATCTTTTAATTGGAAAATTAGTTCAAGGTTTATATTGATAAGTAAAGACTTAGTCTTGCCATTTTACCATTAAAATTTAAAATTAGAAAACAAGTACTAAGCTCGAAATTAGTAAAAGGAAAGATAGAACAGGAATAAAGATAGGAATAGAAATAAATAAGACTAGAAAAAAATAATATCAACACTGAGTTTTTTTGAAAAGAGAAACAAAATTGACAAATCTTTAGTTATACCAAGAAAAGAAGACAAAAATAAACAAAATCAATAGCAAAAGAGGTAAAAGAGTTAAGTTTATGTCATCTCAAAACATGTCAAATTAGTATATTGATTGTTTCAAGCTGAAATTGTAGGCAGTATTGTAACTTCAGAGGAGGCCATTTGGCCTTTAATGCAACAAGCCATGAAGGCTCTTTTGGGAAGGGTGCCCTCCCCATACAAAGGTGGAAAACAGCCTTTAACCCTAGAGGATGGTAACTGGGGCTGCAATGGACCTGAATAGATCGAGCCAAAGAACCACACAAGAACCAAGGGGCAGAGGGGACCTTTCTCTCCTTTACAGAGGAGACACTGAAATTGATACCATGGAAATAAGAAAGGCTCCTGGGAGGTTACTATGAATAATTATTAACAAACAAATTGGATAACCTATAATGGATAAGTTCCTAGGCTCATACAACCTACCGAGACTGAATCAAAGAAAAAGAAAATCTGAACCGACCAGTAATGTGTAAGGAAGTTGACTTAATAACAAAAAATTTCCCAGCAAAGAAAAGCCAGGCTTCACTCCTGAAGTCTACCACACATGTAAAGCAGAATATCAATTATTCTCAAACTCTTCCAAGAAGCTGGAGAAAATACTTCCAAGCTTATTTTATGAGGTTGCATTACTCTGACACCAAAGCCAGGCAAGGGCACTATAAAAAATTGCAGGCCAGTGATAACATAGATTCAAAACTCTTCAACATTATAGTAGCAAACTGAATTTTACAATAAAGGATTATTCACCATGATCAAGTAAATTTTCCCCTATGATGCAACGATATTTCAACTTGTGCAAATTAATAAATGTAACATACAGTATTAACAAAAGGTAGAACAGAGCTATTTGATCATCTCAACAGATGCAGAAATCATTTGACAAATTCCAACAAGTTTTCATGATGGAAACACTCAACAGGGGCTGGCAGTGTGGCAGCATGGCAGTGTCAGCCACCACCTGCAATGCCAGCATCCCATACAGGTGTCAGTTTGAGTCCTGACTGCTCCACTTCTGATCTAACAACCTGGTAATGGCCTAGGAAAAGCAGTGGACCCCTGACATTCACCTGGGAGACCTGGATGAACCTCTCGAATCCTGGCTTTGGTCTGGTCCAGCACTGGCTGTTGTAGCCATCTGGGGAGTGAACCAGTGTACAGAAGCACTCTCTCTCTCTCTCCCCCCCCCCATGTAATTCTGACATTCAATTAAGTAAATCAATCTTGTTAAAGAGAGAGAGAGAGGGAGGGAGGGAGGGAGGGAGAGAGGGAGAGAGAGAGAGAAAAACACTCAACAAATTAGCTAGCAAAATATACCTCAATACAATGAAGACTTTATATGATCAAAAGATAACACAATATTCAATAATGAAAAGTTGTTTTCCTCTAAAATCAGGAAAAAGATCAGTATCTTGACAAGTGCTCATCACCACTGCTATTCAACATAATACTCAGTGTCCTACACAAAGCAATTAAGCAAGAGAAAGAAATACAGGGCATCCAAATAAGACAGGAAGAAGTTAAACTGTCCCTGTGTACAGGTGACATGATCTTATATGTAGAAAACCCTAAAGAGTCCACCATAAAACCACTGGAACTAATAAATGAATTTGGTAAAGTTGCAGATAGAAACATCAGATGCATTCCTATGTATTAATAACTATACCAAAAAGAAATCAAGACAAAATTTCACGTTGTACAAAACAAAATATCCAGGAAAAAATTTAATCAAGGAGGTGAAAGACCTATATACTAAAAACTATAATGAAAGTAACCAAAAAAGACACAAATAAATTTGAAGGAATCTTATGTTCACAGACTGGAAGAATTAACATTGTTAAAATGTCCATATGTCCAAACCAATGCAGATTCAAGGCAGTTCCAATCAAAATACCAAACACATCATTCACAGAAATAGAAAAACAATCCTAACACTCATACAGAACCACAAAAGACCCTTAATAGCAATCTTGAGAAAAAATAAAAAGCTGGAGGCATATTTCCTGCCTTTAACATATACCAAACATCTGGTGTTCAGAACAGCATGATACTGGCATAAAAACGCACACACAGACCAACGGAACACAACGGAGTGTCCAGAAGTAAACACACATGCACAGCCAACTGACATTCAACAAAGGTGCCAACAACTCAGAATGGGAAAAAAATCTCTTCAATAAATGCTGTGAGATAACTACATATCCACACACAGAAGAATGAAATTGGGCCCTTATCTCAAATTATGAACAAAAGTATATTCAGAACAAAAACAATCAACAAACTAGAGACAACTGATGGAATGGCAGAAAATATTTCTGCCCTATACATCTGATTATAGGTTAATATCCCAAATATGTAAGGAATTTAATTCTACAGCAAGATAACAAATGATTCAACTAAAAATTGAGCCCAAATCCCCACTTTTTAAAAAAAAGATTTATTTATTTACTTAAGAGACACAGTTACAGACAGAGAGAAGGAGAGACAAAGAGAGAGAGGTCTTCCATCTTACTGTTTCACTCTCCAAATGGACACAATGGCTGGAGCTGAGCCAATTTGAAGCCAGGAGCCAGGAGTTTCTTCCAGGTCTACCACACTGGTGCAGGGGCTCAAGCACTTGGGCCATCTTCTACTGCTTTTCCAGGCCATCAAAAGGGAGCTGGATCAGAAGCTGAGCAGCCAAGACTCGAACCTGTGCCCATATGGTATGCCAGCACTACAGACAGATGCTTAACCTACTACGCCACAGCGCCGGACCCAAGAAACACTTTAAAATGATGAAGTTACTCAGTCATTCCTGAATGCACACATATTTTAAGGCATAATGTTATACACAGCAAATACACAATATTTGTGTTTGTCAATTAGAAAGAATTTTTAAGAAGGGACTTAAAAAGCCTAAAATTCATTATCGGGCCCTTTAAACACAACATTGCTGATCCTGCACTAGAGTCTTAAATAGCAAGGCCTACAGTTTCTGAGATACCTTTCAGAGCTCCTGGCATTTAGGAGGAATACAATACATGTCTGTTCTAAGACTGAGTGCCTCCAGACCCAACAGTTAGTCCTCCTATCCTGGGAGGTTCTTGGGGCATGGCAGGGCTAGACAGGAGCTGGGTCAATTCCCCTTCTGATCCCCCAGGATCTAAGGGGCCCCAAAGATGACAGCCCTGGAGGAGAGGAACCAGGACTCAGAGGCCTCAGGTTCAAGGTCAGTCCAAGGAGACCCACCCACTTCTTGACCCCTTCTGCTGTTTCTGGGGAAGAAAAGGGAAGGGAATGGCTCTCTCTTTCATGGCCCTCTGCTTTGGCCGAACTCAGGTAAGACTGGGCCCACTTTCAGAGAATACACAGTCCTCTGCCTCTGTCCTCCCCAAGAAACGTGGGCCGGCTACACCCAGGGGAGCAGCCAGGTGGGAGTGCAGGAAGAGACACTCATCTCTTTCATAGCTCCTCCCACCCCAGCAAAGAGCAAGGTATAGTGACCGCCAGCCCCTGGTGCCACTGCCTGGTTAAAAGTTATCCTGGACGCGATGGGGTGAAGATGGCAGGCTGTATGGGCACGCGCATGCCTGTGGGCACCAGGTCATCTGTGTGCACATGCACAGGGTGCAGGCAGGGCGCAGGGCTGCACTGTGTCTTTGCCTCTGATGTCATGAGTTGGGTGCTCACAGGGTACTGCACACACATCTCCTTCTTTTAATCTGGTCTCACTTCTCATCTCTCAGGCACAGAGGGGAAAACCGTCCCCTGTCCCCACCCTGCACTCCCAGAACCCACGTCTTCACCTCCGGTTCCAGGCTTCCAGGGAGGGTGGTGTCTACTGAGGTCTATGGGCTGAAGTCTTACGGCCAGAGCCAGATTCCAGCAGTCCCAAGTCCTGCAGGGCTTCCTGTAGCTGCTCCCGGGCAGTGCCAATAAAGGAATTCTTCAGGAAGGCGGGCAGGCCTCCCACACCATCACGCAGGGTGTACAGGGGCACCCGCACCAGGCCCAGCACCTGGGAAGGAGGCAGACAGCAGACACTGGGATCCCCAGTAGCTCAACCCCTTAACTCAATCCCTGTAGAGGTGGGGAACATCCGGCCCACAAGCCACGAAATCATTTGGTCTGGCTCGCCAAGGCAACAATAGGCGGGATTTCAATAAATCTACAGCAAGCTAATTTTTAAATTAATAAATCTATAGCAAGCTAATTTTAAAATTCATTATTTTTTTGCCTGCAAATGATGTTATAAACATCCATATGGTCCTTGGCAGAAAAAAAGGTTCCCCACCTCCATTAGATCTTTCTGGAGCAGCGGTCTCTCGACATTTCAGCAGCAGCAGCTCCACCACTCATCCCTCAGTGGGGCCTGGTGGGCTCCAGGCTCCACAGGCCAATGCTACCCAGCGCCACCAAGTCTAATCCTCCCCACAGGTCTCCCAAGCCCTCTGTGGCTTCCCTCCTGGAGGGACGCTCCCCTCGGGCAGGGACAGAAGGGCCCCAGCCGGCCCCACCTCCAGCCCATGGTCCTTGGCCTGCGGGGCGCCGGCCTCCACGGCCACCAGCTGCTCCAGCTCCAGCCGCTTGGCGTAGAAGTGCGCCACGACGCGCTGCCCGGCCGCGGCGTGCGAGCTGCGGTAGTCAGCGCGCTCCACGCGGAAGGCCGACGCCGCCTCGCCCAGCTCCTCGCGCAGCTTCCGGTTCAGCCCGTCCTCCAGGCAGCCGTCCCGCGAGTCCACGAAGCCGCCCGGGAAGCCCAGGCGCCCGTCGAAGCGCATCTGCATCTGCGGGATGGGGGAGGCGGGTTGGCTGCGGCGCCCAGGGGAGAACGCGGGGCGGGGTGGCCCGGCGACCCCTCCTCACCAGCACGGCGTAGCGCAGCGGGATGCGGCCGAAGAGCATGGCCGGGTTTGGTGCGTAGAGCATGGCGTGGCACGCATGCCGCCAGCCGGGCCCCAGCGCCAGAGCTTCGGCCAGCTCCACCTTGCCGGACCCGGCCATGGCCAGGTCCCTCCCAAGCCACGCTGGGCTCAGGAAGGCCACGTGGGCAGGTGGGAGGGTCTCAGTGAGGACCAATCAAAGCTCTAGTGGTGCCGCCAGGACCAATCCTTGCCCTGTCTTGGGGTGGGATTTAAGTCACTCCAAGGAGGTGCTGGTGAGGGACGTGGGCTCTAGCCAATCAGTTCGGAGTTTTCAGCCTGGCTTAAGCGGAGGGGAGAAAACTTCCTCTGGTAGGGTGCTGGCTGGAGGTGTGACAGGGCTGAAAGCTTGAACTGGACTGGTGACTGCAGGATGACGTAACAGTCTGGAGCTCACAGAATTCCGTGGAACTCAGGAGAGTGGTAGGGTTGTGAGATTCTGTCAGCTGAGTCCTGTTAGCTGAAGAAACAGGGATGGCGTTCAAATTCGGTTTCGTTGACACAACTCCATAACTGGCAGAAGCTGGAGGTGGAGGAATTGGGCTAGGGTGAAGTCAGAGTTTCTGGCCTTAGTGGAAGTCACTGTCATTTTTGGGATGGGGGGGGCGGGTAAGCAATCTAAATGTGGTCAGGAGTTGGGGCGCGGGCAGTGGCGCGGTGTGGGGGACTGGTCTGGGCCACAGGAAGTGACACCTGGAGCAGTCACAGGACGGGAGGGGCAGGAAGCAGCTCTGGGTGGAGAGTGAGGAGGGGCAGAGGGAGAAGCGGCCCCCTCAGACCTTCGTGCAGTGAGCGGAGTGTGGAAGAAGACGCCCAGCCTACCACAGGGCGAGGTGCCCCTGAGGGTCGGGATTTGGGATCCCCGGCTCCAGATCCGGCCTGCCCCACGCTGAAGATTTCTCCCACACCAAGAGTCAGTGTTTATCGCACAGTGGAAAGCAGAGGCAGCCCCTTGACAGGGCCTGGGAATGAAGTCAGCTTTCAAGAGGCAGTGATAGGAACGAGCCCAGAACCCAGCCAGACACAGGCCAAGTCACTGAACAGTCAGATCCCAGTCCCAGGCTGCTGGTGTGTTAAATGGGGACACCACCAACCTTCTACGGGTGTTGAGAGACGTAAAGCGCCCAGAACGGTGCCGTGCTGGAGGTAAGTGGATCCACTGTTGTAGTGGAGGGTGGGGTCCCCAGGCTTGGAGCTCAGCCACACTCAGCCAAGGATGAGGCTTTCCTGTTGTCATGTTTCCCAGCTTGGTCTTCTGAGTGGTAGGTCAGGGATGGCACCTGCGAACAGGCATTTGATCAAGGTGATGAGGCTGTGTAAGTGATAGAGCTGTCAGCCTGCTGGGGTTCCTGGGGACTTGAAAATAGTCTTGGTAAATCATTAGCATCACTTTGCAAAACATTTATACAGTGGGTCTTCAAAGAGTTCATGGAAAACGCGCATTGTGAAAAAACTGATTTTCAAAATTTCTTGCAAGAAATAAGCTTACGTATGAGCTACATTTTCCCACAAACTATCTGAGGTACCCTTGTAAAATTTTGTAATGGCTGTCTAATCCAGAGCTCCATCTAGGCCAACTGAATAGTAATATCTGTTGGTGGTGCAGTGCCTAGGTGATTTTCCAAACCTGTCTCCAGTGACCAGTACACAGCCAGGGTTGAGAACCAATGTCTTCCCCTCTTCCCCTAGCATTCCAAATTTAGCATGTATTCTCTCCTAAGTTGGTGAGCTTTAAGGATGTAGGGTAAAACATGCCTTTTCTTTTCTTTCAATATTTATTTATTTGAAAGAGTTACACAGAAAGAGAAGGAGAGGCAGAGAGGTCTTCCATCTGCTGGTTCACTCCCCAGTTGGCCACAACGGCCAGAGCTGTGCTGATCAGAAGCCAGGAGCCAGGTTCTTCTTCCAGGTCTCCCATGCAGCAGGGGCCCAAGGACTTGGGCCATCTTGTACTGCTTTCCCAGGCCATAGCAGAGAGCTGAATCGTAAGTGGAGCAGCTGGGACTGGAACCGGCACCCATACTGCAGGTGGTGGCGCCTTTACCTGCTACGCCACAGCACTGGCCCCAAATATGCCTTTTCCAGGGCAGTAACTCTTCTGTTTTTCCTTCATGGTTGCGTGAGGAGGTTTTAAAGATGGATTCAGCTATTTTTAAGGCAACATGAAAATCTATAAAACCAAAGCGCCATCCACCCAGGCATTCACGACTGAGCCCGGAGCTCTTTCAGGATGCGTGTGTAAGGCAGCCCTCAAGGCTGGCCTCCTACTCTGACCCCGAGCTTCCCTTCTTTTCAAATTACTCTTTCCTTCTGCCCTACTTCCCCAGTCCCCAACCTTCAGCCCACGGTGCTGAGAAAGGCGGCCGAGACGTCAAGAGGCTGAGCCATGCGACGTAAGGGCAGCTCTAAGCTCACAAGGGTCTTCAAGGACAAAAGTGATTCAGTGGTTGTTGTGGAGCATGCCAGAAACCAAGTTATCATTTAAAAATGAGGAAAAGAATTAAGCATTTATCTTCTCCTTTTCACATGGCCTCTACTTCAGGGCTGACTAGTAGTCAAGTGGGGAGTATTTCTCTTATAAGTAATCCGGAAAAAGAAAGAAGGAATCAATCCAAATTAAACTTTTCTAAAGCCTTAAATGATTACTATATCCTAGATAAGGATCTCCAAAAATTGTTATTGTGTCACAAAAATACAAGCAATTATTTTTGTACCTCATGATAGAAGAACACATTACCTCTTATGAAACGTTTTTGCCAGCAAATGGAATTTGAATCTCAATTTAACTACCAACTTATAAGGAATACAAAGGAACACCTTTGTAAAACAACAGGGAGAGGCCAGCGCCACCAGGCTCAATAGGCTAATCCTCCACCTAGCGGTGCTGGCACACCAGGTTCTAGTCCACCAGGTTCTAGTCCCGGTCGGGGAGTCGGATTTTGTCCTGGTTGCCCCTCTTCCAGGCCAGCTCTCTTCTGTGACCCGGGAGTGCAGTGGAGGATGGCCCAAGTGCTTGGGCCCTGCATCCCATGGGAGACCAGGAGAAGCACCTGGCTCCTGCCTTTGGATCAGTGCGGTGTGCTGGCCGTGGCGGCCATTGGAGGGTGAACCAACAGCAAAGGAAGACCTTTCTCTCTGTCTCTCTCTCTCACTGTCCACTTTGCCTGTCAAAAAAACAAAAAACAAAAAACAAAAAAAAACAGGGAGAGACTAGAGTAATCCGTGTGGTATGCATTGGAGTTGGACACATCACAGATGATTACATATAGAAGTGTTACTGGAGAAATTGCAGGGTTCTTGTCTTCCGCAAGAAAGAATTCAGGCGTGAGACAGAGAGTAGTAAGAGGTAAAAGTAGCAAAGCTTATTAGGGAAGGGACATCCGCAAGAACGGATGGGCACCTCTCCAGACAGGACCTGAGAGAGAGTGCCCAGTCGCTCGGACTGGGGAGGGGTGGGGAGGGAAGAAGCGAGGTTACATGGTTGGGTGGAGAGATTACACCTGGCCAGACCAGGCGGGCGACTCAGCAGAGAGGCAGAGGGCTGAGCGGGCAGTCCAGTTGAGGCGGGGTGTGTGTGTGTGTGTGTGTGTGTGTGTGTTTGTTTTAGGAGATGGGTCTTGCTTCCCCACCTGTTCCTCTTAGAACAAAGGGCTTTTTGGATGCAAATGTTAAGAAACTTCTCCCTGAGTTTTCTCCTGAAGGTCTGAAACAAAGCACTTTATGGATACAAATGTTATCAGACAGCAGGAAGGGAGCAGGGGGGTCTCCTGGAGCAGAAATGGGGCATCTGGTAACAGCTAAGGGATTCTGAATAAAGTCAGGACATGACTTAATACTAATGTATCCCGACTGGCTCATTATTGTAAGAAACGTACCAGAGTAATGCAGGATGCCAATCAATAGGAACAACTGGGTGACGTGGACAGGAGCTCTATAGGCGTCACAGTATTTCTGTAAATGTAAAATATCTAGAAAATAAAGTTCTAACAAATCAGGAGGATGCAATCAGCAAAACTTGGATTGAAGGAGAGTTTACAAGACAAATTACCTGGTGTTTTCAATAAATTGATTACAAGGAGAAAAAAAGACCTGAAGGCAGAATCCATACATCAAAAGAGACCCTGGAAACGCATCAAAATCCAAGGAATCGGCCTTTAGTTGCATTCTAATTTGAACAAACTTAAAAGAAAAATTCACCTAGTGGGATTATGAGAATACTGATCAGATACTTGATATATAGAAGCCACTGGTAGTTATTTGAGGTGTGGTAATAGTATTGTGGTTTCTTTTTAAAGGATTCTTTATTTTTTAGATATACACACTGAAATATTTATGAATGACATGATAAAAATAACTCAAGGAATAGAGACTGAACATATAAATAAAATAAAATTGGGCATGAGTTGATAATTTTTGAAGGAGAATTTAAAGTTTATTATTATATATCACATATATAATGTTACAATATTATATTATTCCCTTTTCTTTAATATGGTTAGATGTTTTCTATAGTAAAACATAAAAAACAAAAAAGATGTTTTGCTGTTTCTGAAGCTAAAGGTTGCAATTTACATTTGAATGAAGCTTTGCATTTCCCAGAACCCTTTCACAGGCAGGATCCCTTAAGTGTGGCAGGAAGAGAGAGCTGTGGTCCAGGCTCAGGTCAGAGGCAGGAAGAAGGCTACAGCTGACACCTGCCATCTGTCGGGTGATCTTATTTCCCAAGATTTCTCCTGTGCTTTGAATGCAAGGTGCAGGATGAGAACCACTGGTTTTGAAGAGTATCAGATGGTATCCTCAGCTGGGAGCTTACACAGCAGGACTTCCTGAAAGGGCTGGGTGCAGTGGTGACAGGATCTCGATGAGTCTGTTTGTCCAAGGACACAAGGAAGCCACTGTCTCTGGAGGAGACATTGTTAGGAGGCTGCCGAGGAAGGAGGCAGGACAGTGCTCCAATCCAACCTCCTGTACTGCTTATGCCAAAGACATTTACTGGGAAGGGAGTAAGGGGTGGAGATGAGTACAGACGGTAAACTGGTCAAGGAAGAAAGGAGTAATTTCTGTTCTGAGCAGGGGCAGCTCAGTGGAAGCCTCTTTGTACATCACACCATTAAAAAATGGTGGCCATGGCACCCCAAGTGGCAGGGGGTTTGGGCCCAAAAAGTTGCATGTTCACCCAGGGACCAGTGGCAGATCGGCCATTTGCTGTTTCATGGTTCTGACTGGTTTTGACCAGTTTTATGTGGGAGTCTCAAGAAATCACTGGTGTTGTGTAAGATAAATTCAAGATTTTGGGGGCCGGCGCTGTGGCGCAGTGAATTAACGCCCTGGCATGAAGCTCCGGCACTCCATATGGGCGCCAGTTCGAGACCCTGCTGGTCTACTTCTGATCCACCTCTCTGCTATGGCCTGGGAAAGCAGTAGAAGATGGCCCAAGTCCTTGGGCCCCTGCACCCGTGTAGGAGACCTGGAAGAAGCTCCTGGCTCCTGGCTCCTGGCTCCTGGCTCCTGGCTCCTGGCTCCAGGCAGTTCTGGCCATTGCGGCCAACTGGGGATTGAACCATCGAATGAAAGACCTCTCTCTCTCTCTGCTTCTCCTCTCTCTCTGTGTAACTCTGACTTTCGATTAAATAAATAAATCTTTAAAAAAAAAAAAGGTTTTGGTTAGTTCCCCATCCACTTTGTGATATGGCTCCATTATGTTTATTATGATTTTCTTATTTCTTTTCTTTTTTTAGCATTCACATACCTGAAATCACATCCATCAGCCTTAAAGGGGATGAGATAATCTGGAATACAGGCCTGCATTTTTTTGTTTTTGTTTTTGTTTTCTGGTATAGTACAATAATATCCACTGCTGTGTGTGTGTGTGTGTGTGTGTGTGTCTGGATCCATTAGGTAGGTACCTTTATTATAAGGGCAGAATTCCTCAGACACCTCCAGATGCATGCCTGGGCTCTTCAGCTTATTACCCTACAAGCACCCCAAAGCCAACATGCTGCATCCCAGCTCTCTGAAGTCACCCATCTCCTGCCCAGGCAGCCATGTGAGAGAGCCCAGGATTTCTCACAAACAGCTCCTTAACCTCCCCCACCTCCATCCTGTCCTCAGCCTTGCATTCCTCAGATGCACGTAAGGCCTTCATCTTTCTCACCTGGACTACACCTCCCTCTCTAAACCTGCCCTGTACACAGTGCCAGGACACTGCAAAAGTCATACCCAGCGCTCCCTCTTCGGGACGCCCGTGACTACAGGACACAGCAAGGAACTCTGTAACTCAGCTTTTGTTCAATTACTGAACAATAATTAGACATTGTTTCACAGGGTCTGTAACTCAGGAATAAGGAATGGGTTAGCTGGGTGAGTCTGACTCAAAGTTTCTCATGAAATTTTAGTCAGCCCAGACTGCAGTCAAAGGAAGCTGCAGGCTGGAGAATTTGCTTTCCATAGCTCACCTGTTACTGAAAACTCAGTCCTTGTCCCTGATGCCACATCAGAATAACAAGGACAACGTTTGGGGGCAAAGGAAGAAGCTTTATCTGCAGATGAAGGTGCAGCAGAATTCTGGGTCTCAAGAATCACTGCCCTGCCAGTTGAGGGTGCTCTGGGTTTGTGTGTATGTGTTTTATTTATTAATCTTTTTTTCTTTGTTTATTTACATAAGGAGAACATATTTCATGCATTTTTTCCTTTTAATTTTTGTGATAACATACTTTCAATTTATAGCCACAGGTTTATTCTTCCACTAAATAAAAAAGTTCAACAAGTAGAAAGTAGAAAGACCACCATTCTGCAGGAGTTTAGACAAAGGCTATAAATAATAAATCTCAAGATGCCAATTGCACACATATATATTACATTTTGTTTTTGTACTGTATGTATGAGCTCCCACATTTTGGGGTTTTAGAGAGGCTACAGAGAAGGGAGAGCTAGTGGGGTGAGATGGGGAAAGTGCTGCAAGGCTCTGGAATCAGGTGCTGAGTCGCACACATCCTTTCTCTGTTTCACCTTGAGGTCCACAGGTGGCGAGATTAGACCTAGTCTGACCAGGCTGTAAGATGAAGACCAGGGCAGTGTGCACTAGTGAGCGGGAAGTCGGCAGCCCAGTCCTGAAGCATTAACAAGATACTTTGCATGAGCTGTTTGCACAGTGTCACCTGGTTGGTCTGATGGCCAAGTGGGCTTCAGTCAGCCTGGGTCCAGACCTGAGAGTCCCTTAAGCAAAACCCCTTATGACCACACTGGCCACCGACACGGTATCTGTTGGAGAAGCAAAGGCTCTCATGAGCCAGAGATTGGAATCTTGTAGGGCCTCCTGTACCACTCCCCTGATTCAGTGAGTTAAGCTCAGGGAGAGTGGCTAGGAGACTGGGGCCTGATAGTATCTAGTGTCTGCATTCAAAGCTCTTGTATGGGGGCTTAGATGCACACTGACTTGGCCAGCAAGTTGATATTGGCTGTTAGCAAAAGACCAAGAGAAAACAAGATGGAATTGGTCCTTTTGTGACCTGTTCTCACAAGTCACACCACATTACCTCTGCAGTGGCCACTCTTGTGCCAAGGTGGGGTTCTCCTACCAGGGATGAGAATTATTGAGGGCCGTCTCGGGGGCTGGCTAACAACCCTTCCTCTCTAAACCTGATGTAATCTCTCTCTTGTTTTATCTACTCCTGGGACCAAAAGACTTGAAATTCCCCAAACCCACAAGACTATGTCTTTCATTCTTGTGTTCTTTATTCCTGTAAGATCTTTTCCTTCATTTGCCTAGTGAATTCTTTTTGGTTTTAAGATTTATTCATTTCTTTGAAAGGCAGAGTTACAGATAAGGAGAGCTAGAAGCAGGAAAGAGAGGAGGAGGAGGAGGAGGAGGAGGAGAGAGAGAGATCTCCCATCTGCTGGTTTATTCCCCAAATGGCTGCAATGGCCAGGGCTGGGCTAGGCCAAAGCCAGGAGCCATGAGTTTCTTCCAGGTTTTCCACATGGGTACAGGGACCCAAGCCCTTGGGCCATCTTCTGTTGCTCTCCTGGCATGTTAGCAGGGAACTGGATCAGAAGTGGAGCAACCATGACTCGAACTGGTGCCCATATGGGATGCTGACACTGGAGGCAGAGGCTTAGCCTTCTATGTCTCAGTACTGGCTCTGGTGAATTCTTATCACTCAAAATTGTGTGCCTAAATTTACTGGATGGGAACTCCACATATGGTGAAGTGAAATACTGAAAGGTTTATATTACATGCACAGAAGAGATGTGCCAGGTCTCCATGCTCCCACTCAGCATTGGCTTGATACATTCAGGAAGCCAGGAAAGTTAGAGGTCATGGATTACCCAGGCCATTTTGAAAAAGGGCACACATGTTCTTTTAAGAAGCCACAGAGGGGGCCGGCTCTTTGGCAGAGCAGGTTAAAGCCCCAGCCTGCAGTGCCAACATCCCAGATGGGTGCCAGTTTGAGTCCCAGCTGCTCCTTTTCTGATCGAGGTCTCTGCTATGGCTTGGGAAAGAAGTAGGAGATGGCCCAAGTCCTTGGGCCCATGCACCCATGTGGGAGACCCAGGGGAAGCTCCTGGCTCCCGGCTTCAGCTCAGCTCAGCTCTGGCCGTTGCAGTCATTTGGGGAGTGAACCAGCAGAATGGAAGACCACTCTCTCTCTGGCTCTACCTCTCTAACTCTGTCTTTCAAATAAATAAAATAAATATTTAAAATAAAAAAAAGAAGCCACAGAGTCATTTCCTTGAAAATAAACATCCCTTAGATTTGTAAATAGCAATGCAAAAAAGAATGAAGCATGAGAATCTGATAAGTGTTAGAGGAGGATGGAGAGAGTGCTGTTGGGATGAGGAAGATCATTGGTTAGCTTATTGCCATAATTATACTGTATCAGAACCACCAACCTGAATCGTGTACAGCAATAAACATTTGCAGCTCACCTGGAGTGGCTCTGCTACCTTCTCCAATAGCTGGGGTATAGGGAAGGGTGAACTGAGATGGGAAATTCTATCAAACAGGGAGACGCCACGACACATTGGAAGGACAAACATGTTTTAGCTGTTTTGCCTCCCAAATGAAATCTACAAATCCACTTTGCAAACATTCCTGTTGGACTTGAGTTTTATTCTGCAAGTCTTACTCCATTTTCTGTTGCATAACTAAATACCATAGATTACATTAATTGTAAAGAATAAAGGTCTGTTCAGCTTAGGGTTCTGCATGCCGGGAGGTCCAAGCACCAGAGGCTGCATCTGGCGGGGACATCGTGCTGGGGGAGGACTCAGCAGAGTGTTGAGGTGGCGCAGGACATTGCATGGCACATCCAGGACAGAACCAGACTGGCTTTCATGACAGTTGCTTCTTGATACAACCCCTTAGCCCAGTAATCCATTCAGCCATGTGTGGATAATCCTCTCTGGAAAGGTTGCACCTGGTCCCACCTCTTAATACCTCACAGTGGGGAATAAATTTCAAGCTGACTTTTGGTGAGGACATTCAAATCGTTGCACAGTATAAATGTAATTACTGTGTTATTCCTCATAAATATTTATGAATATGTTATTTTGTGATCTACTGTTTTTGTTTTTGTTTTTATTCTTTATTTATTTGAGAGATAGAGTTACAGACAGAGGGAGAGACAGACAGAAAGGTCTTCCATCAGCTGTTTCACTCCCAAAGTGGCCAAAGGACCGGGGCTGGGCCAGGCCCTAGCCAGGAGCCAAAGCTACTTCTGGGTCTCCCACCCGAGTGGCAGGGGGCTCAAGGAATTGGGCCATCCTCCATTGCTTTCCCAGGACATAATCAGAGAGCTGGATTGGAAGAGGAGCAGTGGGGGTATGGAATCAGCGCTCATATGGGATGCTGACACCACAGACAGGGGCTTAGCTTACTGCTCCACAGCACTGGCCCTTATCATGGACATTTCTTAAAGGATTTCATTCATTTATTTGGAAGGTAGAGTTACAGAGAGAGAAGGAGAGAGAGAGCTTTCGTCTGCTGGTTCACTCTTCAAATGGCTGCAACAGTCCGGGCCAAGCCAAAGTCAGGAAACTGGCGCTTCATCTGGGTCTCCCTTGTGGGTGCTGCGGCCTGAGCACTTGGGCCATCTGCTGCATTCCCATCACATTAACAGGGAGCTGGATTGGAAGTAGAGCAGCTAGGACTTGAACCGGTGCCCATATGGGATGCCGGCACTGCCATAGCGCTGACCCCATGAGATACATTTTTTGAACCAAATTTTGGAGCTTCTTACAAAGTCAAGGAAGAACTGAGCATGTAAGCATTCTGGTGATGACCTTGGAGTTACACAAGCAGGTTAATGAAATGTCAAAGGAGCAGAGCTTTTCTGTAGAGGCAAAGCTGGTCTCACTCATTTGCTTTTTCAGAACTGCTTTCTTCTCGGCTCTCTCATCCTTTAGCCGGCTCTCAGCTAATTTCTAGTCAAGTGCTAGATGAGAATGGCTCAATGTGTTTTTTGCTCAGGGTGCATTTGTATGAAGAAAGCAGAATATTAGAAAACTAAACAATCTCCAATGGAAGGCCAGGTAGCCTGGCAACACAGTGAGTGATTTCTCCTCCAGAATGGAGAGAATTTGTAGCATTTAAAGCATTTCTGCACATTGGCAATGTCATGAGATTCAGCTTACATTATTTTTAATTACTTAATTTATTTGAAAGAGAGAGAAAGAGAGAGAATCTTCCATTCACTGGTTCACTCCTCAAATGTCTACAAGAGCCAGGGTGGGCCGGGCTGAAACCAGGAGCCTGGAACTCCGTCCAGGTCTCCCATGAGAGTGGCAGGAACCAACGTACTTGGGCCATCATCTGCTGCTTCTGAGGCACATTAGCAGGAAGCTGGACCAGAAGCAGAAGCAGAACTTGATCCCATCTGATATGGGATGTGCTCACCCCAAGTTGCAGCTTAACCTGTTGAACCAGAACACCTGCTCTTAATCAGAGAATTTTACTAGTTCTGCAGACATAGGCAGGTAGTATGACTTGAACAGGACTTCCCTCCCTAAATCCACACAGGTGTTTAACTCTGAGGTTTTGTGTTGATGTTTGGTGGATTAGGTGTGAAGACTTGCAGCAGGCCTGGTGGGAGGGAGGTCGTCAGGTCATTGGGGGCGTGCCCTCAGAAGGTGAACATCTTGAGAGGGTTGGTTATTAAAGCCCAGTTCTGTCTAACCTTTCTCCCTGCTTCCTGGCTCCCCGTGTGGCCATTTCCCCAGGCTTGCTCTGCCTTTGCCAGCCTCTAGCAAGCCAGACTGTTGAGGCTGCCTGACCTTGAACTATGAACTTCCAAACTGTTGAGCAAAAATAGCCATTGTCTTCCCAAGAAGCTCCTCTTGGATATTTTAAATTAAGTAATGAAAAGTTGACAAATACAGCAGGAGTCTAGAATCCAAGTCATCCAGTATCAAGTTCAATGTCTTACAGCAGGTTGAGGCAGAAGCATTCTAAAATATCCTTTACTCTGTGTCCACACCTGCTCTTCTCCCTCCGCCTCCACACACCCGTCACCCGGTGGCCTCACTCCACTCACTTCTCAGGCTCCACAGTTAGTTCTCACATCATCTTGAAGGAGGAACCGAGTGTTTCCCAGCTTGAGCGGCTGCTTAATCTGTCTGCCTCCTTTATCCCGAGCCCACTGTGACGGCTGGACGCTTTTATAATAGACCTAGAGCTTTTGCTGCTGCCTCAACCCCGAAGACATTGAATAATTCACTTCCATCACTCCCCTTTGTGTGCTTTATCTCCGCATCACCCGAAATAGCTGATGGCATTTCCTCTGCATAAATAGAGAGCAGAAAGGTCAATTGGCATTTGTGAAATATAGATATTTTTCACAAAGCAGCAAGGTCTGTCGTTCCCTTACACTTGTGACCCTGTCCAATTTTTTTTAACTCCTCAGCCAGTTTCTTTCACTATTTGCAGTTCATTAGTTATTAATATTAATATATAATATTAGTTATTAATTAATAAATTCTCTAATATGCTAATAAATCATTTATTAATTGTATAGTTATTAATATTACATTGAAATGGCCCCAAATTAAGACAGACTTTAGCTGAAGGAGGATGTATTTTCTCAACAGTAATAATAAAGAATTTTTTTGAAGTCATGCTAAATCTCATTCCCCACATTCACCCCAGGGAATAAGATACATTTGCGTGAGCTTCTCTCAAGAGGTATGGAGCTATGGATCCAACATAATATTTCTTCTTAACTCTGAAAGTCTGATGTGGTATACAGCACACAGTCCCACAGGGTAAGATGTCAGTCTGCACCGGTCTTCTTAGTAACACCTACACTGTAGAGCACTGTTTCTTGAGTACATTAATCTGCCTGTGGAAAATAGTGGAAAAATCTAGCTATTTCCCCTTTAGACCCAGGAACTCACACAAGCAATTTTGTATTCTAGTGATACAGTGAGTGTTCCTGGGGTCCTGTCTTCCAGTCCCATTTGTAATAGTGTTGGTCCAAAAGGGCATGGGGCTCTGGGAAGCTCTTCCTGGGGTGAGGTCTTTTCCTTGTTGGTGTGATGGAAATGTCCATGCCCACACCCAGTGGGGTGGTCACAGGCCCCATACCTCATCAATGCTGATTTTGACAGGATACAGCTCCTGCACTCAGACAGATGCTTAAACCCCAAGTCCTAAGGTGATGGTACTAAGAGAGTGGAAGCGTAATCCAGTTGTGTTGTCCAGGAGGTGAGTCTCGTAGGAGGGCTTTGGTCACTCGGGGCTCACCTGCAGAAGGTAGTGCTTGTGAAAGGGTTTGTTAGAAAGCATGAGTCGGTTTCAGCCTGTCTTTCTGTCCCCTGGATCATCATGTAATCCATCCTCCATGTGTGCTCTGACCTCATTAGACGGCCAAAATAATGGAGCCACCCAATCTTGGACTGTGAACCTCCAAAACCATGAGCCAAAAAATGAACCTTCTTCATAAATAGCTTCTCTCCAGAGTTTTGTAATGGTGAAGAAAAGTTGACCAGCCTGAGGGATTTCCTAGGGCAAACTTGATTTTCAATATTCAGCCATGGTAACAGCCATGGGTCTTGGCATTTGACTTAGGAAATATGCTCAAGCTCAGAATTCTGAAAAATTTCACCTCTTACATCTGGGAACCAGTATTTGAGGCTTGCTTTTCCTGACCCAGACACAGGGGCTGTGAAAGCACTGGCATGCTCCTGTTTCCCAGTCTTCTAGCTGGGACTTTTCCTCTGCATGCAGGGAAGGGGGATGAGAATGGACTTCACTAGCTTCGGGAGGAGGCAGAGTGAAGATCTGAGCTGTCCCATCACCCTTCCAGTGGTAAGGGAGTTGCGAGAACATAGAGAGTGATGTCCACAGTTCTTGAACCCTGCAGGAGTTGAGGTCATTTAGGTATCTTGTGGTCCTTTGGTTGTGGAGTGAGAAAAAACTTGGTTTGATAATTGAGTCTATGAAAGCAACTGATGGTAGACACATAAACAAGAGAAAGAATATTAATTAACGTATTTGCATATGCACAGGGACCCCCCCCACACACACAAAATATGAGAGTTGGAAAAGGACCAGATGACTGGAGTTTATATAGCATGTTAAGCTACAGAAAGGAACAGGAGCTTGGAGAGTCTAGGGGTAGGTGGCGAAAAGTTACAGGAGGGTAAAGGGAAGAAATGTATGATGATCAAAGTTTGTCATGTTGGGCAAAGTTCTTCAGGCACTAAAACTCTGAGAGGAGCCATCAGAGGAACAAGTGCTAGTCTGTGACAGTCTGTCTGGACTGGTGTCTCCTCCTTTCCTATGTTAATGCCCCCTCCTCATTGATGAGATTCCTAGGGAGGGTATTCAAGACCATTGAGTTCCTTTAGGAAGACTCTATAGACAGACAGGGGAACTTACAAGAAAGTCCTCCCCCTGTCGGGATAAAGAGGGGATAATAAACAGGAGGACAGGAGGAGGTCAGAGAGACCTTGGTTCTAAGGCCTTAAAATCTTCTTTAGTTTGAAGTACTCAGCTTGCCGAAGTGCCATGCTTGGGAGTATAATTTTCTAAACCCCAAAAGTTGCTTCATAGATGTAGAAGTGAAGCCACAAGATAGTGAGACTTAGAACACAGTGGTCATGTCCTCTTGTCCTTAAAATGAGCTCACTGGGGCCAGAGCTGTGGCTTAGTAGGTTAAGCCCCCACCTGCAGCACTGGCATCCCATATAGGCACTGATTTGTGACCCAGCTGCTCCTCTTCCAATCCAGCTCTCTGCTGATGGCCTTGGAAAGCAGTAGAGGATGGCCCAAGTGCTTGGGCCCCTGCACCCACACAGGGAACCCAGAAGAAGCTCCTGGCTCCTCGCTTTGGATCGGCCCAACTCTGGCCATTGCGGCCATTTGAGGAGTGAACCAGCAGATGGAAGACCTCTCTCTCTGTCTTTCCCTCTCTCTGCCTGTAACTCTACCTCTCAAATAAATGAGTAAAATCTTAAATTAAAAAAAAAAAAGAGCTCACTGCCTCCCAAACTCCCACCCCACGCACTACCTTTTTTAGAGAATTCACTGGGAGGCATCTGAAGTCTTTGGGCCCTTTCTTCTTCACAGTCCTCACACATTGTCAATAGAAGTGAGATGAAGTAAGCCTCAACTAAGAGCACACAAATCTACTGCTCCAAATAAAAAGAACAGAAAGACAGGTCTTGGACAGTGGCTCTGTACATGGCCTTCACGCCAGCAGCATTGGCACCCTGAGAACTTGCTGGAAATGCAGATTTTCAAGCTCCATCTCCAGATCTGGTGCATCAGAAAGGCTGCAGGTGGATTCCAGCAATCCATGTTCTAATAAGCCTTCCAGGTGAAAGGACACTGGGGCTGGCATAGTGGTCTAGTGGGTTAAATGGCTGCTTGCGACATTGGCATTCCATGTGGATGCTGGTTCAAGTCCCAGCTGCTTCAGTTCCAATCCAGATGCCTGTTAATGTGTCCGGGAAAGCAGTAGAAGATGGCCCAAGTCCTTGGGCACCCATGTGCCCAGTGAAGCTCCAGATAAAGCCCCTGGCTTTGGCCTGTCCCAACCCTGGCAGTTGAGGATCTGGGGAGTGAACTAGTGGATGGAAGACCTGTGTGTGTGTGTGTGTGTGTGTGTGTGTGTGTCTGTGTGTGTGTCCCTCTCTATATATAACTCTGCCTTTCAAATAAATAAATCTTCAAAAATAAAGAAAAGAAAAAAAGAAAAGAAAAGAAAAGAAAAGAAAAGAAATCCTGTAGGGGTCACAGCACGAGGTTTCCCAGGTCAGTAGCAGGAGGTGGAAGAGTGAATGGCAGTGCTTCTGTGTATCCAATTCACCAGGTAACAAAAGATGTGCTTTGGCCCATCAACTTTCCAGGAAAAGGAATGGACGGAGGCTCAATATTGACAAAGACTCTGCTGGACCAGACGTTACCCCAGCTCCTCTGAACACTCTTTTCAGCTAGGCCTCCTCATTGGGCCTCATCTTTGGCATGATGAATCCAGTTTTAGCAAGAATACTGCAAAGTCATTTTAGTGAGACTACCACACTCTTGATGTCTGATTGCCCTCAGTGTCTGATCAAATTGCTTAGGCCCCATCCTCAATATCTGACTGCTCTGTTAAGTCAGCTATTTAGCAAGAGTCCCCCTACCCTGAGGTCTCCTCTTTGTACTATTCCACTCATGAACCTCCCTGTCCTGCTCCCTGGCTATACGTCCCCAGCTGTCTTTGCTCTATTTTGAATTGAGCCCATGTCTTTCCCCATTACAATACTTTTGACAGCTATCAAAATAATCCTGAGGCCTGTGCCACAGCTCACTAGGCTAATCCTCCGGGTTCTGTCCCAGTTGCTCCTCTTCCAGTCCAGCGCTCTGCTGTGGCCCAGGAAGGCAGTGGAGGATGGCCCAAGTCCTTGGGCCCTGCATCTGCATGGGAGACCAGGAGGACGCACCTGGCTCCTGGCTTCAGATCGGCGCAGGTACCGTAGCGGCAATTTGGGTGGTGAAGCAACGGAAGGAAGACCTTTCTCTCTGTCTCTCTCTCTCTCTCTCTCACTAACTCTGCCTGTCAAAAAATAAAATAAATAAATAAATAAAAATACTTGCTGCTATTACAAAAAAAAAATCCTGAATAGAGTAATTCTTCCCTATGGTTTTAAAAAAAGTCAGAATAATTTTTTTTCTTTAACAGAATATTTAAACATATAGATGTTTCAAAAGCTCCTAAGGCAAGTCTGATAGAGCCCCTTCATTCAAAACCTACACACATGGTGATTAAGATTATGGGCACTGGAATCAGACTTGGGTTGAAATCACAGATTGCTTTTGCTTCTCACAATCATGTCTCTAAGCAGGTTACCTAACCCCAACATCTTCAGCTGAGGGATAATCTCTCCGTACTTGTCTATGCCTCTGTCTCTCTCTAGAGCTGGTGAAAAGATTCAATGAAGTAAGGCCCTTTAGGTACTAAGCACAGCACCAGCACATAATAAACCAAATATTGGCTGCTCTATATACACATCATTAGATGGATGCATCACATTCCACAAGATATTTTCACATAAGGGGAAATATTAAATGGGTTATTTATTTTGTAACCATGGAAAATATTTTTATTAGTGAATAAGTTTTCAATGCTCTTGTGGATGAGTCTGGGGGTATAAATCACAGGTGGGAATCACCTTTTGGAATTTTATTTTATTTACTTATTATTTATTTTCTAACTTTTATTTAAAATATAAATTTCCAAAGTACAACTTTTGGATTATAGCAGCTTTTCCCCCCATAACCTCCCTCCCACCCACAACCATCCCATCTCCTACTCCCTCTCCCATTCCATTCTTCATCAAGATTCATTTTCAATTATCTTTATATACAGATGATCAATTTAGTATATACTAAGTAAAGATTTCAACAGTTTGCACCCACACAGAAATACAAAGTGTAAAATACTGTTTGAGTACTAGTTATACTGTTAATTCACATAGTACAACACATTTAGGACAGAGATCCTACAAGGGGAGTAAGTGCACAGTGACTCCTGTTGTTGATTTAACAATTGACACTCTTATTTATGATATCAGTAGTTACCCAAGGCTCTTGTCATGAGTTCCAAGGCTATGGAAGCCTCTTAAGTTTGCCAACTCAGATCTTATTTAGACGAGGCCATATAGTCAAAGTGGAAGTTGTCTCCTCCCTTCAGAGAAAGGTACCTCCTTCTTTGATGGCCTGTTCTTTCCGGTCACAAAGATCTTTCACTTAGGTCGTGTTTGTTGTGTTTTGTTGTTGTTGTTGTTGTTGTTGTTGTTGTTTTTGCCACAGTGTCTTGGCTTTCCATGCCGAAAATACTTTCATGGGCTTTTTAACCATATCTGAATGCCTTAAGGGCTGATTCTGAGGCCAGAGTGCTATCTAGGATATCTGCCATTCTGTAAGTCTGCTGTGTATCCTGCTTCCCATGTTGGATCATTCTCTCCTTTTTAATTCTATCAGTTAGTATTAGCAGACACTAGTCTTGTTTATGTGATCTCTTTGACACTTAATCCTATCATTATGATCAATTATGAACTGCAACTGATCACTTTAACTAGTGAGATGGCATTGGTGCATGCTCAATTGGACTTACCCCTAATGATAGAGTTAGAAATGTGCCAGGGAATTCCAATTCAATCCCATCAAGGATTTTTATTTAATTTAATTTAATTTTATTTACTTATTTGAAAAGCAGAGTCACAGAGAAGCAGATGCAGAGAAAGAGAGAGAGGGGTCTTCCGTCCACTGGTTCACTCCCCAAATGGCCGCAAGCAGCTGGAGCTGGGCCGATCCGAAGTCAGGAACCAGGAGTTTCTTCTGGATCTCCCATGTGGGTGCAAAGGCCCAAGGACTTGCGCTATCTTCTACTACTTTCCCAGGCCATAGCAGAGAGCTACAGATCGGAAATGGAGCAGCCGGACTTGAACCGGCACCCATATGGGATGCCGACACCGCAGACAGTGGCTTTACCTGCTGTGCCACAACACCGGCCCCCATCCTTTTGGACTTTTAATACAGGTCCTCATATTTATTACCTTGCTGATTAGTCAAAGATAAGCAAAAGTAGGTAAAAAAAGGGCAGCACAGACAGATGTGTCTGACTCCCAGGCAGCACAGCACTGTGGGTGGAGGCCAGTGCCCAGAAGCCTTCACAAGCAAGCCAACCCTGGTTCACAGAGATCCAGAGTGGACAGGCCCTAAGCTCTGTCCTCCATCCAGCTGGAAATGGTCCCAGGGTGGTTCAATCTCGCAGGAACCCCGAGGGCACACGTAGAAGAGGTGCTTTTCAGAAACCAGATCTATAAGCTTATCTTAGAGTGTAGACTAAATGACCCAGGACTCTGAGTAGAAGCAGCCCTGTTTACTACTCTACAGGAGTCATTACATGGATGGAGAATTAAAAGTAAAGCTGTACCCATTTCCTGTAAAGTTTGGTGGAATTGTTTCCTGGATTTTCATAGAAATTTGTCTACTTCAACTGCTGGTTGTTTTTGAAAGTTCCTTAGAGATGGCTCTAGAATGCAGACTCTCTCCCTGTGGCAATTAGTAATTGTTCCTCAAAGTACAGGAGCTGGTCAACCTCAAAGCAGTCACTGGCCTGAGGCACCACTTTTTCTAGATGTTCCTGGATCTCTGCTTCGCTGGTGTTCTGATGCCTTGCTCTCTTGAGGTAAGTGTAGACTTCCTCAAAGACTTCTGCTCCCAGCTTCTGTACAGCCAATCTGCCAGAAAAGAAAGATCGTAAGGAGTTGTACAAAGAGATCACCTGTAAGTAAACACAGTTGTTTTTTTTAAATAATTATTTGTTTACTTGAAAGTCAGAGTTACACAGAGAGAGGGAGAGACATGGAGAGGTCTTCCATCCTTTGGTTCACTCCCCAGATGGCTGTAACAGCTGGAGCTGGGCCAGGCCAAAGCCAGGAGCCAGGAGCTTATGGGTCTTCCACGTAGGTACAGGGGCCCAAGCACTTGGGCCATCCTCTACTGCTTTCCCAGGTGCATTAGGGAAGGAGCTGGATCAGAAGTGGAGCATCCGGGTCTCAAACTGGCACCCCTATGGGATGTCGGCATCACAGGTGGCAGTTTTAGTTGCTATGCCACAATACTGGCCTCAGGAAAATATGTTTTAAGTCACTTATTACACAAATAATATCATTTCTTTGGGATTTAGGGGGGGAACGTAAAGCACAGTGTCTCATCCTAAATATTCATAATCTTCAACAAATAAAGCTTGAATGTCTATTGTGTTCCAAGTTTTCCTGTAGGAACTGTGAACATAGCAAGTAAACAAGTTAGGTGAATTCCTGCCTTCATCTGTGTATATACACCAACACATGTGTGTACACATATGTCTATAAATATATTCACATATGATATCAGGTAGTGCTAAGTGCAGTGGAAAAAACACAGGGGGAGGGGCAAAGACATCATTCTGAGGCAGTGTCACTGGAGCACAGACCCTCATAAAGAGAGGGGCAATGGAATCTGGGCTCTAAGTGTAAAGCATGTTGGAAAAATATCAGTTGGAGCAGCTGCACTGGGGAGATAAGGGAAGAGGATGGTGGGATACAAAATCAACAAACAGGGGCTGGTGCTGTGGCGCAGCGGGTTAAAGCCTTGGCTTGAAGTGTCAGCATCCCATATGGGTGCCAGTTCTAGTCCCGGCTGCTCCTCTTCTAATCCAGCGCTCTGCTATGGCCTGGGATAGCAGTAGAAGATGCCCCTGCACCCACGTGGGAGACCGGAAGAAGCTCCTGGCTTCGGATTGGCACAGCTCTGGTCGTTGCGGCCATCATTGTGGCCATATGAGAAGTGAACCAGCGGATGAAAGATCTCTCTCTCTCTCTGTCTCTACCTCTCTCTGTAACTCTGTCTTTCAAATAAATAAAATAAATCTTAAAAAAAATCAACAAACAGCCAATAGCAAAATAATAATAATGAGGAGGGGGCCAGTGGGTTTGCTCAGTGGGTTAAGCCACCACCTGCGGTGCCAGTATCCCACATGGGTGCTGGTTCAAACCCCAGCTGCTTTATTTCCTGTCCAGCTCCCTGCTGCTAATGTACATGGGAAAGCTGCAGAAGATGGCCCAAGTGCTTGGGCCCCTGCATCCATGTGGGAGACCCAGATGGAGTTCCAGGCTCCTGATTTTGGCCTGATCTAGTTGTTGCAGTGATTTGGGGACTGGACCAGCAGGTGGAAGATGTCTCTCTCCCTCTTTCTTTGTAACTGGTTTTCAAATAAATAACTAAATATTTAAAAAAATAATAATGAGGATATGGAGGCAAGCCAGGGGGAGAAAAATTGTTTTCTTGACCGCTTGTAGATACCTTTGCACTCGCTTCACCCTTACAATCTCATCTCGCCTTTCCAGTGGCTTCTTGAGGGAGGCATTCTTTTAAAATCCCGATTTTACAGATGAAGAAATGGAGACTTTAATTTGGTCAAGTTCCCACCAAAGCCAACGTTCATCTCACCATATTTGCATCCATGCTCGTCCATATGTAGGTGTAATGTTTGCATTGTTCTATCACCATTGCATGTTTATTTCATCTCTGTCTATTTTCCTCTACCACAGAATGGTCATAAACTATCCTTAGGACTCACTTTCCCCTCACTCCAATTGTTTTTACTGTCTTTGGCCCATATCATCTAATACTAAGCTGAGTTTCATATATTTTCTACTTGCTTGACTCAAAGGCATTAAAGTTGGTGTGGTTTTTTTGACAGTTCATCAAATAGTCATTTTTAATGGTTCCATAATGTTCCAGCAAATTTATGTACCAGCGTGCACCAAAATCATTCCTCCACTAACCATTTAGCTTTTGCCACCCTTTGCCACTGTAGCATTGTGTGAAGACTTTTAGGCACATAACTCTTTAGGGAAAAATTTTCTGTCATCAAATTTCTAGAAGTGGCACTAATTAAGTGAGTGTGTTCACTCTGTGGAAGTTGATACATACACTTATAATTTCTATGCTTTTTTGTATATATTTTGTGTTTGATTATAAGATAAAACATGATAATCAGATGGTTAGATCAAATGTATAAATATTTTTATGACTTCCTTTATTCATTTCAATAGATTTCGTGAAAAGTAGTCTTTTTGCCGCAGAATTTTAAAGCATCAATTCTGAATAGAAATGATTGAAATGTTGACAATAATATTGAAGGCACCAATTAGAGACTTTTGCATTCATTTTATATGCTCGTATTGTTTAGTACTGTTCATGCATTACAACCTCTGGGGTCAGGTATTGTGACAGACAAAAAGAATAAGTAATTTTTCCTGCTCTGCTTTAGAGGCTAGTAATAATAATACAAGACATAAACATATTTTTAAAAAAGGTTTATTTATTGGAGCTGGCATTGTGGTGCAATGGGCTCTGGTTCGAGTCCTGACTGATCTACTTCCTATCCATCTCCCTGCTAATGGCTTGAGAAAAGCAGCAGAAGATGGCCTAAGTACTCCGGCCCTTAATACCCACAGTGGGAGACCCAGTTGAAGCTCCTGGCTCCTGGCTTTGTCCTGGTCCAGCACCAGCAAATGGAAGTTCGCTCGCTCACTCTCTCTCTCTCTTTCTCTAACCCTGACTTTCAAATAAATAAATAAATAAATCTTTTTTTTTTTAAAAAAGAACAGATCTATCAATCCATAAAAATTTTGTTTATCTATTTGAAAGAGTTACAGAGAGAGAGAGAGAGGGAGAGACAGAGAGAAATCTTCCGTCCTCTGGTTCACTCCCTAGATGACTGCAATGGCTCAAGCTGGACCAGGCCAGAGCCAAGAGCTTCATCTGGGTTTCCCATACAGGTGGCAGGGACCCAAATACTTGGGTCATCTTCCTCTGATTTCCCTTAGGCCATTATTAGGGAGTTGGATCTGAAGTGAAACAGCCAGTGCATCAACTAGAGCCCATATGGGATGCTGGCTTTGCAGGTGACAGCTTTATCTGCTGGGCCACAATGCCAGCCCCAAGACAAAGATTTTTAATTTTACCATTTCTACAGCATTGTAGAGCTTGTGGAATGCTTACATACTCATTATCTTAAAAGATTCTTGTGAACCAGGTACTTCTCAAAACACCGCTCTCCATTCATCTCCCTAAGTAGGTTTTTGCAGACTCTCACAAGCTTGGAAATCTAGGTGGTAGAGTTTGGACTCAAACACAGACCTTACAAGTCCAAGCGCAGGAGAGAGACCAGCAGCCTGAAGGCCCCAGTCAGCCAGCTTTCACTGGGTTTCCAACCTTTTGTCAGGATATTATCAGTACAGATCCCAGCATGCCTGGCATCACTTATCATCTCAGCACCCCCAGAAATCCAAGTCTTCCTCTTGCTAGCATTTAACACGCCCTGCTGATCCCCTCATTTTTCAAAGTCTTCAACAAGCATCCTGCTCTCTTCCTTCCGCTGCCTCCTCCTGTTGGCCTCCTGGACTCTGGTGCTGTTGGGCTCTCTGGTTGTGGACTGCCTTATGTGCAATGGCCTTTTCCTCTACCCTACCTCAGCTGCCCATTGCCATGATCATACCCTTGACCGCAACAGCACCAATGGCTACCTGATCCCTGAGACTGAGTTCAATGCTTATACAACTCTAACATCCTCCTTGTGCCCTTCAGCCAAACCATCACAGCTATTGTTGCACTTCGTGGCCACCTGCAGAGACCCTAACACCATGATAATATCACTCACCCCCTTATGTCGTCATAATGTCCTTAGTGCACTTTCTCCCAGTGAAACCTCATAGTCCATGATCATAACCATTATGTTGCACACAGTTGTGACTTTCTGCTCCCCTCTCCCTTTGTATAACAAAGTTCAAATGGCCAAGCCTGGGAAGATACCTACCCCACACCTGTATATGAACAGTAGAACATTTCTGGAGAATAGTATCCAATTATGCTAAGAGGTCTCATCTAGCTGATAATCACAGTTCAAAATGCCCTTTGGGCACAGCCCAGTATTGCTACTACACTTTCCCAGTATGTTTATTTGCCATCCAAAATGGCCATTTCACACCTCGTGCCTTATCCCTCACTCTCATTCTCAGCTGAGGACTTTACCTAACAGTCTCACTGAGACAATAGAAACAACTACATAAATATTCTCTCGTCTTTCCCATGCCCAAACTGCCAGCCTACCTGGGTCAGCGACCACACACTTGGTTTCCGTGCTGTCCCTAATGGAAGGATCACCGCTGCTCACATTAAACACCAGACTCTCCCTGAGTGCACTGGATCCTGGCTCTGTCACCATCTCAGTGGCTGTCACCCTTGCAGCTATCTTGTTTCTTTACCTCATAATCTCTACCTCTACTGCATCATTCGGTTCCAGAAACACAAAGCCTAGCATATCCCGTCCCAGGCAGGAAGGCTGTCTCTGCCCTGCACACTGCTTACTCGTCCCTGTCTCAACCCATCCCCTTGATGTCTATCCTCGTAGAACTTCTTGAAAGAGTTGTGGCATAGTTGCTGCCCTACTTTTCCACCACCTGCTCTTTCTCAATCCACTGCTCTTGTGCCTTGGTGCTTGCTTCTTCCCTGCAACTACTCTGCAAGGGTATCAACGACCTCCATATATGCACTTCCCCTGGTCACAACTCCCTGTGTGTATACGTATTTCCTTAATTGGGATAAAATTCATGTAACATAAAATTAACCATTTAAAACAATTGTTTCATTTAGTACATTTCAATATGGCACAACCATCACCTTTATATGA